GGGTGTGAGGAGTCTCTCCGTGGTGGGAAGGTCACTGTGAAGCTCTGTTTCCCTCTGAGTGTTTTCTTCCAGGGTTTCTGAATCCTTCTTTGCCATTGTGGACCCAGGGGCTTGGTTCCTAGCAGAGAGTGGAGGTGGCTGGGTGCTGGGGGGTGGCAGCAGCATGCTGGAAGGGATGAGGTTTAACATGATGCCCCCAAAAATCAGGAGAGTGCCTGAGGGAAGAGAGAAGGTGGTTTGGTTTTTCTCTTGGCATGGGAAAGGAGGAGCAGTAGGAGATGATCTTCCTAAAAACCAAGTGTAGTTGGCACTGGACATGGACAAAGCTGCTGTGAGGAGCTTCTCAGGAGGTTTTACTCCTGTGTCTGTAGCTGGAAGTGCCCTTGACTGTGATGCAGGCAACAAATCCAGAGCTACCCCCAGGAGCTGGCTGGCTGTTTTGTTTTCCCTCATTAGAAGTCCATTCCATGGGACACACCTTCAAGATGGCCAGAAGCAGGATAGTGAAAGTGGGAATTTCCAGTTTTGATTTCTGAGGCCTCTGGTTTGACTCTGACTTCACTTTAACCATCAATGAGGTGTTTAATCATGAACAAGATGGCCCCAAACTGTCCTAGAAGAGCCAGAGCCTCTTGGCCTGGCCTTGAACACCCTCTTAACCATAGAATGGTTTGGGTTGGAAGGGACCTTGAAGATCATCTCATTCCAACCCCCCTGCCATGGGCAGGGACACCTCCCACTAGAGCAGGTTGCTCCAAGCCCCATCCAGCCTGGTCTTGAGCACATCCAGGTTCCTCTGAACACCTCTTCCTGTGTCTCACCACCCTCATAGTGACAACTTCTTCCTCATTTCTCATCTCAATCTCCCCTCTTCCAGTCTGAAGCCAATACCCCTCATCCTACCACTACAACCCCTTGGACAAGTCCCCTCCCAGCTTCCTCACACGCCCCCTTCAAACTCCGGAAGGCAGGAAGAAGCTTTCTCCACACGTTGCTGACAAATTGGAACGAAGAGGAGACACACTCACCTTGCCAGCCATAAAACTGGATGAGCAGCTGCGTGAAGGGAGCCAGGAGGAAGGTCAGCCCCATCCCAGAGCGGGCCATGGCATTGGAGAGCCCCAGCCGAGCCCTGCAGCCCCGGGCAGTCGCCACCGCCGCCGCCTGGTACAGGCAGGAGAAGCCCAGACCTGTGGGGAGGGCAAGAAAGGGAGATGGCCACCCCCCAACACTGACTGCTCCACCTCCTGAGCTCCAGGGATCTCCAAATCCTGCCATCCCAGGCTCCTGGGCTCCGTAGTGGAGCTGCTCTGCAGGGTTGGTGGGGTGGAAGTGAGGGAGCGTCTGGGGTTGGTGAGTGGAGGAGGTTTCGTGTTTAGTATCTGGGGTTTCTGAGGCTGCCCAGTTTTAGTGAGGGGTTTTTAAAAGCCAGGAATCGTGTTGGGTCCAAGGTAAGAAAGCAAAGTTAATTGGGACTAGAATCATCAAATTGTTTGGGTTGGAAGAGACCTTTGAGGTCATCAAGTCCAACCACCCCCCAGCACTGCCAGGTCCCCACTGCCCCGTGTCCCTCACCCCACATCTCCACGGCTTGGAAACCCCTCCAGGGGTGGGGACTCCACCACTGCCCTGGGCAGCCTGGCACAGCCCTGGGCAACCCTCCAGGGCAAGAAATTGTTCCTCAGGGACAACTGAAACCTCCCCTGGGGCAACTTGAGGCTGTTGCCTCTTGTCGTGTCCCTGGTTCCCTGGGAGCAGAGCCCGACCCCCCCCTGGCTCCAGGCTCCTGTCAGGACTAGCACATTGAACCTTGTTTTTAGTGCTCCTCAGCCATGAAGCTTTAGAGTTTCACACAACATCTCACAGGAAGGAGCTGGGGATGCTCCACCCTTGCAGGACCTGCCTGGTGAAATGTTAGAGGAGCTGCTTTTACTCATCATGTGCAGGGAAGTCTCTGCCCAGCTGAGGTGCAGGCTGCTCACCCAGGAGGAGTCCCATGGAGACGCAGAGGAAGGGGACACTGGTGGCCTGGGTGCTGAGCAGACAGCCCCCTCCCACCAAGCTGGCCCCGATGAGGGAGGTCAGCCTCTCACCCAGCCTCCTGCAGACCACGGCCACGAGTGGGGCTGGAGGAGAAGAGAAGAGAGATCTCAGGCTTGGAAGGGACCTTAAAGGTCATCCAGTTCCACCCCCCTGCCCTGGGCAGGGCCACCTCCCACTAGAGCAGGTTGCTCCAAGCCCTATCCAACCTGGTCTTGAACACCTCCCGGGATGGAGCATCCACAGCTTCCCTGGGCAAACTGGGCCAGGGTCTCACCACCCTCACAGTGAAGAACTTCTTTCTCATTTCTCATCTAAATCTCCCCTCTTCCAGTCTGAAGCCAACACCCCTCGTCCTGTCACTACACGTCCTTGTAAGAAGTCTCTCTCCAGCTTTCCTCTAGGCCCCGTTCAGGCACTGGAAGGCCCCCA